ATCTAGAAATATCAAATATATCAAATATCAAAATTACAACTGGCATAAGTTCATTAAGATGTATCATTTGTTTCTGTCTCAAACAATTTTAATGCCTCTTCTAATGAACCCAATGACCATTATACAATGGAAAATATTGAGCTCTTTAAGTCTTTTCTGCTGTAAAATTCATAGTGATAAAATTCATTCCCCTAATAGTGATAGCGAACCTTTTAGAGACTGAGTGCCCAAAAACTGCCTCATCCCACCCCACACCCCCTGCACCGCCCCCACTCAACCCCTGCCCCCCCATCCATCCGCAGGGCCACCCACCACCTCCATGGCCCGTCGCAGATCACCCAGGTGGCCCAGCAATGCCATGGTGGCCACGCCCTCCGCCCATGCCCAGCTGCAATGTCCTTGTCTGCGCTGCTCCAGGTGGGCCGCGCCTGGGGGCAACTCTCCTCTGGAGGGGCTGCTGGTGTGGAGGGGGCTGTGGGGAGAGGCGGGGCTGCTGCAATGGCAAGTGTGCCCACAGAGAGGGCTCCAAATGCCTCTGGCATTTGTGCCATAGATTTGCCACCACTGCCCTAATATAATTATATTTTGTTTTATAGTAGTTATCATGGCTTTGGAGCAAAATTTGAAATGAATCAAAAACAAGCAGTCTGATAATAAATTTGTATGGAAATACTTCACTCTAAATGGTGCACTGACACTGAGGAAGCAAGCATCCTTCTTAAATTTCAAAATATAACCACTGCCCCTTCTACATTTGTATTTGTTCCACTAAAGTTTTGTGAGAATGTTTCTGGAAGCTTTGGGATTCTGTAGAATGTGAAGAAGCTTTACTAAGTTCTATGAGAAGACAAATTTGCTTCTACCTTTCAATATGCAATTGCCAAGAATTTGGGCTATGCTCCAGAGCATAGTAGAGTGGCTATGCAGCTCTACTGTGGCTTATTAGCATCTGCAGGCTTCTTTTGCCAAAATGGTGAGAGCAGAGCTGTGCTATAATGTAGGTTCTACCTCTTTTGCACATATAAAAAAGCAGGGATGGATAATGTTGAGAAACCTTGATGCTGCTTTCATAATTTTGTGCTTCCTTCTGCCATGGCCTATCATAACTATGCCACAATCTCTACAATTAAACTAAAAATATTTTTAAACGGCACAAATTACATACAATTGCCAATTTTTCAAGAACAATCTAAGGTGCCTTAAGCCTCACAAGACTGTTGATTCCTAGGTAATAATATTTGTGTAGGGTCAATATCTAAACCCAATGGGCTAGTAATTTCCTCAAAGAAAAATCTTTATCTTAGAGGTTCCTTGGGTCTAGAAAGGTAAAAAGTACTATTTTATTTTATATTGGTGCTGATGTTGCAAAATGATCAGGCAATTGCCACTAAATGTCTATTAAATGTCTTTGCAAATTGTTAGAATGAAGAATAACACAGCAGCCTTTGACAAATAGCTTGGGGGGATATTATCAATTAAGAAGACCATCATTTGCTATATTGGGAAGAAATAATGCAAGGTGACTGATAAATTAAATGTCCCAACAAACTGAGTTCAGATATCGTTTTTCTGCTTTTTGTTACTTATGGAACAATAACCTGCATTTATAATATATTTTAGGTTATGAAGAAAATAGGCTATCCCATCTGCCCAAAATGGTGATTCAAGGATAGAATTGAGCCATGCTTCGAAAAAATTGTGCTGTTCAATTCAGCCTTTCTGGTTTCCCACATCTCCATTTTTCATCTAATCAGAACAGTAATTGTGAGTATGCATGTGGATGTTCTTCACATCTATTTTTGTCTGAATTTTATACTTTGCACTGGAATTCTAGAATAATAAAATACCACAATAGTTGATAATAATAAAAGCTGACCAGCTTATAACCAAATAAGTTGGCACTTGAAATAATTTTTTTAACAATAACGTAGGATCCACCCAATCGTCTAAGACTTTGTAAAGTACTTGATGTTAGAGAGCAGTAGCATGGACAGTATCTGATATAATAGTGGAATGTAGATAAATTATTCAACCATGCACATACCGAAGAAAATTCTTTTCTTTCTTTTAATTTGACCACAAAAAGAAAAGAAACAGGAAGAGATGAAATATGAAAATGAAGCACATTTCTTTAAAGAAGGGGTTTGTCCTTGCAACACAGAACCCCCTTCTCCACACACACAGACACAGACGCACATCTGAGAACAGGTTTTTCTCTAACCCAGCATTAACAGCATACATATGCAATTCTCATAGCGTCAAAGAGTTTTTGCTTTTACAAAGAGGGAAAATAACTTTGACAAGCATGCAGCCTTAGTTATGCTAGGTTAACTCTTCACTACTAGTATCAGCTATTTTAAGATGTTTTAATTGCCTTTAGCTTATCGCAGCAGGTAAGCAACTCAAATATTATTTCCTGTGATATTATAAATGCAGATATAGGCTAATGTGGGAGAACCAAATAGTTGAAATAATTTTGAAACCAATTAGGTATTGTCTGCTGTAAATAAAGGGCACTGAAATTGTGATAGCAACAGAAAAAAGCAGATTTTATTTTTTTATAAATCTCTTCAATTACATCATTCCTGGTTAGGTAATCACTCCTTGCAAAACACTGAACTATTATGATGATGATTGCACATGTGTGAAATGTTTAAAGAGATAAGAAGAGCTGAAAGAAAAGGAAATAAGTGGATGACAAAAAATGATTAAATCTAACTTGGCTGAATGGCACAGCCAAAGGAACTGTTCATTTAGTATTTCCTGGAGACTAATCGGACAAAAGCCTTCAAGAATATGCATCCCACACCCTCTCCAGGAGAAATTAAGAACTGAGCTACTGATATGAATGCCTTAATTAATTTGAACGCAACATTCTCATTCACTTACTAAATGCCTTTTAATTTTAAAGCCTCCAGGTACCTTACAATATATATATAACACATCATAAAACTAATACATCAGTTCTAACCATTGGCTAAATGTATAGAAGACAAAGGGTAAACAATAAAAGTAACTTATGTAATTAAAAAAATAGCACGCATTATAATTCCAGAAAATGGCCAACTAAAGTAAGTACTTAAGCCACTTTTGAACCTACAAAGTGAACTACTACTCATTCTTGTAAGGTATTTTACAAGGTGGGGATTACTCAGAATAAGGTAGTAAGACCAGGAATGTGGGCTAACAAGGACGACTCATAATCTTAGTAAATAGGCAGATTCATATGGATACTCCTATGTTGGATGCAAACATAGATCAAAACAAGCACTTCTGTGCCATTTATTTAGTGCCATTTAGCACAAAATTCATTTCCAATGTTCTGAATTAGATTAAAGACAGACTACCCCGTGAAGAAGTTTCTTGAGGTAGTCTGTCTTTAGGCAGGACTATACGAATCAACCAAAGTTGTTCAATGGGGCTTCCAACTCTTCCTCCTTCCTATTCTCTCATAGACTTCTAAGTGCCTTTGTGGTCACTTGGTCATTTTTTTTCTCACTAAAATGATTGTGTTCTTCTCCATCCTCACCCCCCCACACAAAACAAAAGAGGCAGATACTAACTTTGAAACATGTATTCTGTAATTTCTTTTCATGAAATAGCAAATGAGCATCAGTGAAAAGAAATAAATGGGAAATTAATTTTTCACTGTTAAGGTAAATTGGAATAAATGTATCCAGAGCATACTAGAAAAAATACCATTATTCTTAAATAATCTTAATGATACAACTCCTCTTCTCCTTTTCAGTTACTAATAGAACATTAATAAATACATTACAGCACTATGAACAAAAATTAGCAAATATGTATTCCCTCCCAAGAAACATTGTTTATGGCAAAGGTGAGTGGGGGCACAATTAAGGAACACAGAGAATGTGTAGTGTGTGTGTGTGTGTGTGAGAGAGAGAGAGAGAGAGAGAGAGAGAGAGACTATCCATTGTGAAGGTTAATAACTAAATAATAAAGACTGAATGTTGTAAGAGTTATATCCAACACTGACTATATTAGGACATTATTCTGCAAGTGTTTTGGACTCCAGAAATACTTCATTATAAAGTCTTGACTACTAAAGGGAACAAAACAATAATATAAATTATCCTAATCATTTGCCATCCTAACAGAATTAACAAAAGGTAGATGCTCCTAAATTATGGCTCAGTTGCGAGAAGAGAAATTACTTTTCATAGATAAAAATTATTAGTATGAAGCCAGTAATTAAAAAGCTCCTAACAGTTTATATCCAGATAAATGCTAGTCAAGTCAAGGCAAGATGAGACAGGTAGGATTGGGGCAAGGCGACTTACCCCAGCAAACACAATTCATCTTCTTTTTGAAAGAAGATTTTGGCCAAATGGTAGTCATTAGTAAAATAAGTGCTGCAGCACTCGAACAATTTCACATGTGCAAGTGTTAAGAACTGCAAAATTACAGCACATGAAATGACACAATGGGCAATCTCTGCTTTGGGAAGGATTGCATAAAAATTTAATTAGCTTTCATCTCCAGAGATTATAGACCTCTTCAGGTCACCACTGAGGTTACTGGTGGAGCAATAGGCAACTGCAGCTGCCTCCCCATTGGACCTATGTTTGCTTAGCCATCAGAATAATTCATTCTAATGATAAAAGGAGGGTCACTGGGACAAACAGTATTGGGTGAAATGCTGCAGCATGACAGATAACTTTGCCTTTTATCTGTCCAGTATCTTAAATCGGCTGGCACTCAAAGAGCACAGCTTTCAACGGACTTGCGATCTTTCCTTAGCCTTAGTCAGTAGGGAAATAATCGGCTCTTGGTAGGAGAAAGACAATGCTCAGCACTCGTAGGATAGCAAGAATCACCCATAAATAATTCTCTGCTGTCTTCTCCATATTTTGCTGTCCTGGTGTGTTACACTAGCAACAGTATTGCTGTACGCTAACCAAAAACACATCCCCATATCCAGACACACAGGTAAAAGCAAATATTCTGTATAGGTCACAATAATGAACATTTCTTACATCAGTCAGTTGCTTAGAGCGGCCTGGGACGACTGAACTGGAGAACTGTCTGTTTCCTGCCTTTAAAGCAGCATCTTTTCTTGCTTGTTCCAGCAGAACTCTTGCCCGTTCTTTTAACTCTTCCTGTCTTGATAACATTCGTTGCTTCAAAATACATAAAAGGCAAAATATGTCATACTGAAAGACAACAAAGCCCCAAATTAGCCTACCTATCCTATAGTACTGTACTGCTCTGCTAAGAAAAGCAGAAGTATTCCAGGCAACTTTCCAAGAGAAATAGAAGACAGAAAGCCAGTAAGAAAGGTTGCTTGCTTGTGGCTTAAAATCCATTTTAACCTAGAGGGCCATAACAAGTTTCTACAGCATCCAGAGAAATGCATTCCAAAAGTTAACAAGGCCAGGATTCCAATTTGTTTTAGAAGAGAACTATATTTCACTCCAGTAGGGTGAAATGAAGCTATAACTTTTATTTTTGCCCCTTAACTACCACCATTCAGCCCTCAAACAGCAATTTTCTGGGACTTATCCACTGAAGGAGGATTCTAGGTACGCTGGTGAGCTGCACACAGCTTCCTGGCTGCCCTATCTAATATAGGATGCATTATAAAGATCCACTAACTGAAAACCACTGCAATTGTGAAGAGGCTGGGCCAAGCCAAGAGCAACAGAGGTTACCCCTTCCTGTTTGGCCTATATAAGAAATAACTGAGCTGTAAATTAGCAGAATTTACAACAATACTCCCCAAAAGAAGTCCAAGCATTTGTAGCCTTCTTGTGCTGTGCTGGACTGGTTCTGCCTCTCTTGCTCATTAGTTCAGCTTTTTGCCAGATTGTCTACTGCTTTGCTTCAAGCAAAAGAGAGTCTGGGCCAACTGCAAGAATAGGTGTGTGTGGAATGGTTGTTACAAAATATGTTAGGGAGTCATGTCAATGTTGAGGGAAAAGATCTCGTCTTCCCCTCTTTATGACTTACTATAACTAAGAAAGGTATCAGAAAAGTCTTCTAAGGTTTTGTGATATAATATTATTGGATGTACACATTAAAGATTTGGAATGAGAGCAAGAAGCATCTTCCAATATTCTATAGCAATTCTAATTCTTCTAAGCATTTTTTTTTTACATGCAATCCTATCTTTGAAACATGGGATGGAATTGGCTGACGAGAGAGAAATCAGCTTGCTACGCACAGCAGAACTATAATGACTGCAGACTGTTATGTAGCCAGTTTGGGAGGATTTGTTCCCGTCAGTTGTTTAAAAAGTCAGTTTGACCAAATTCAACAGATAGGAGAAGAGACTTGGGGAAAAACAGATTTCAGGAAAGGAGAGCGATCCCAATCAAACAACCCTGATGTCAAGCTCCCCAAGAGATAAAAGAGGGTGGCTTCCCTTCTGAGTTGGGGATGGGGCTCTGGCTAAAATTCAAAAGGGAAAGAACTGTAGACTGTTCCCTCGTTGTGCTTCTCTACTTTCTGAGGCAGTTTCATGGAGCTTCTTAGGTAGGAGGCAATCAGAATTGGGGGCCAAATATGAGGCCTCCATTTGTTGGGAGAATGGAAGAAGAGCCACATTCAGTTTGCAGTCTTCTTTATGTTTTCACGGGATTAAAATTCCATATCACCTTTTCCTAGAAGATCTGCTTAGGTCACTATGATTGTAGGAACCAGTTATTGCCTTACCTAGTAAAATCTCGGCTGAAGCCCCATTTGTATTTGAGATGGCAAATAGCAACCCCCCACGCCAATTTGATACTTAACAGGGCAGACAGGAATATCAATAATGGGGTTTTTTTTTAATAATAGTATAATGAGTATTTCCCTTCCCACTGGACTAAGACAACTCTAGGTGAGATCCAGATTCACCAACTGTGAAAAAATGCTGTCTACATGGAAGACTTTTGACCCAGAAGAGGAATCTCACTCGTAGATCTTTTTTAGATCGCTCCTGTAGTAATATCTTTATCTGTTGCTGAAAATGGCCCCTTAGCCTCCCCTAGCATAATTCTGACAAAACAAAATGTTACTGAAATTGATTGCAAGAGAAATTATAATATAAGTTATATTATTGTAAAAATAGTTTCTGATTCCTTACCTGTGCAGTTTTTCCAGGCAGATCCGTTGGATGTATCACTGTTTTGGCCTCAAACTGTAGCTTAGTCTCCAGTTGCATATCTAATTTATTAATATCCACATCCCTATTGTTGGGATATCCAGATTTATTTTCCATTTCTAAATTTGTTTTTTCAATGTGTAACTCAGAATCCAATTTCCTACTATCTCTAAGGCTGAGGTGCTCCTGTTTTGCAGGTTCTGAGAAACAAATGGCAGTGTCAGAATTCTGATAGCCCTTTTTGTCAATATCCTCATCTATAGTTGTGGGAAGTGCATCCCTTTTTAGATCGCTGATCTGCATGAGGTCACTCAGGTCTAGAGTATCTGCTTTGAGAAGCTTTTTCCTTCCCAACAAGGGCTGTGTTTGTGCTGCACTGTTTTTTTCAGGTTCTGCTATTCCCGAAATCCTTCCCTGTTGTTTTTGTGGTTGCTGTGCATTACCTGTAGTCCTGTGAGGAGAGGTCAAATTTTGTGACTCAGCTGTGTCTTGAGATTCTCTGTCTCTTTCTGACTCTAGAACTCTGCTGTCATTTACAAATACTGGGTCTTTCTGGAAATCAAAGGCTGCCTGCTGCAGTTCTGGCTCTTGTTTTAGGTCACTTAGTTCTGCGTAGAATTTTTCCTGGTCAACAGAGCTGTTTGTATCTGTTTCATAGTTGCCAACTTTATATGTGCTTTTGCTACTGTTTTCTTCAATCTGAACTACATTTAGCTCCAGTCCACTGAAATGTGCCCGTACTTGATACAGATAGGTCATAACAGTCAGCTTGTCAGGAATGGCTAACAAAACCATGTCAGAAGGTTCCAGTAGCCGGGATATTCCCAAGCTAGCAAATCCATCGTACGCCTTAAAAGAAGAAGCAAAAACAGAGTTAGTGTTTTTGATATATAAAACTCCTGGAATGTATGATAATTGTCAGGAGATGCATAGGATTCTGAGTTTTCTTGGATTTCGCCATTTAATTGCTTTAAATGAGATATGGACAAGAAACTGCTGCAGTTAAAAGTCTCATGATGCAATCAGTAAAATGGCTTGTTTAAGCTAGAGCACAATCCTAAAAACAAAACAAGTATTGATTAAAAAATATAGTAATTTTAAAGTAGACTAAAATCGGAAGCACTTTTTTAAAATGAGTCTTTCAGTCAGAAGAGTTCAGCTTGCATTTCTCCTCTCTTTAATGTTGCTGTCAGGTCTAGCAGTAGGGATCAGCACACATGAGCTGTTAGTTATGACCCAAGCCCTGCGGAAGTTCACTGATTGATCCTGCCACTGACCCTAAATACCACCTACAGCTATCTGGGTCCAACACTCCTAACAATGAAAGCCATATTGTTAATTGCCATGCCACGTCACTGGGATCTTGACAATACTTTAAGGTATTGTAGGAGAATCAAAATGCCAGACCCCAAAAGCATTGCCTGAACTTTAAGGCAATTTGAGGCAAGGCTACCTTCTAAGTGCTCAAACGTGATGATTCAATATGGGTTTGAGTTTGAACAAGAAGGAATTGCCATCTTTTTGACACATCTGACTCTCCTATAAAACTACTTTACATGGATAGTAAATGAGATGGTATCATTTTAATGATTCTACTATTTTTAACTGCTGGAAAATGTTTATTGATTGATTGCCTGGGGAAAAAAGGTGTCTTCACATGAAAAATGTAGCAAAGGCTATAACCATTCTCCCTAGTATCAAATGTTCGCTATGCAGGAACATTTTTTGTGTAGAGGATAATACACTTCTTTGTATTCTCACCTGAAATAAAAAATTGCATGCTCCAATCTGTGAGAATTCAGCTAAGAACTGAGGTGACCTGGAGCAATCACAAAACAAATATGATGTTCATTCCATTTAGCCTATATGCTCAGTAACCTTTAAAATATTGATTTTAACCAGACTTTCAGAATATCACACTGACATTATGCTTGTAATGTATTATTGCTCTTGGAATTCCTTTTATTTCTATATCCTGATATTGCTCATATTTACCTTGTGCATTGTGAGCCAATATGGATATTTTCCATTGTGGAAAAATTGTATATATAAATTAAATTCTAATCTCTCTCTCTCGCGCGTGCGCTCTCTCTCTCTCACTGCATGAGAGAGAGAGATGCATAGAATAGAGTAATCAAGATATAAAATGCAGGATGACCCAGTGTGGATATAGACAACAGTAGGCTCTATTCTTAATGTCTTAGAGGCAGAGACAAAGCATTTAACCTTCTCTGATAGAATAATGTAAGATGGCACAATCCACCCTAATGCACACATCCACTAAAAGTATCTTGCAATATATAGGTGTAACTTCACTCGTAGTGCTATAAGTATTTGAGGTTGGTTCCAGTGATGTTTTTCTACTGATGTAATAGAATTTCTCAGCAGACCAGAACCCCTTACCCATGTGGACCAATGCAGCAAATGCAGAAGGTGCACAATCAGATACAGAGATAAAAAAAAAAAAATCCAATAAAGCTGCTTGCTGTAATCTTTTGCTGGAAATTATTATTACAGGCAATTTTAAAATAGATGTTGTTCTATCCAGCAGACTTTAGAGTCATACAAAGCCCCAGCAATTAAAGAAATAGCCTATAGCTGGAGAAAAAAAAAACATGGACATGCAGACTGGTTTTTAAACTAAGAAACTAAGATAACAAAGATAGAAAGAAACCTGATACTAATCCATTGTGGGATTTATGCTAGCTGATTTATGCTAGCTGACCAGCCTTCTATTAGCTATGAAATTGCTGTCATTTAGCTTGGATTGGTTAATTGTATAATAGAAAACAACAGCTCATCTGTGCTGTGTAAAACCGTCTGCCCATCCATCCATCCATTCATCCATCCATCTTCCTCCCTATTTTTCCTTTGTTTAATTGATTAATTCATGTCTATCAAACTGCTATGGAGCTTTAAGCTAAAAAATGAGACCAACTCTACTCCTATTCCATTAAAGAATGTACTTGCATCAAGTTTTTCTAGTTTTGGAGAATCACAGCTGTTTCTCAATTTACAGGTAATTATTACTAACCAAGACAAGGTAGGGAAAAGTATTGTGTTTCAAGAAAAGCTTTATCAAAGGGACTGTGGGCATAACTTCAGCTTTATTGGTACTTCTGTGAAAAACAGCACAAATTTTGATATTTACAAAATGCCTTTCTAGTAATTAAGAGAAAACTAAATGAAAACCCACAGTCTGTCTTTGAGAGACAGGGAAAACCCAGATTGTTTTGAATAATTAAAACACGATGCAACTTATGTCTGAGAATTCTGAATTTAGTTTGCAATCCTGACATTATTATTGAACATTCTCTCCTTAATGACTATGTACTCAATCTGGAAGGGCTGCTGTGTTGTTACATCTGACTGGAAATTAAACTAATTTTATTAATCTGCTAGTTTTTATATTGCATCGGTTGTTTTCCTGCAAAAAAGAGAACTGTGTAGCTCCCAGTGTACAATGTTTCCACGTCATTCAAGTTAGATTGCAGCATTGTATTGCATTGGGTATTGTTCTAAAAATCTTAACATAAATTATAACTGCTTCAAAATGGATCAGCCAGATAGCAGAAATAGCCAGCTGTAGAGGATGAAAGAGTTTCATCCTCTACTGGCAGAGCTATCAAATCTAGAATGGAGAAATATGGATGCTCACCAGGTGGCAGCAGAGTGCCACAGATTTCTGGGAAAAGGTAGACTAGAAAACCTGAATTTGAAGCAAAATTTTAAATCCTACCTAGGTTGAAATTCCAGATTCCACAAACCTCCAAATATTCTGATTTTAAAAAACACCCTCATGTGATGAAAAATAAAATGTATCTGTATCTGTTAATTTGCTTTGGCTTAGCATGTAGTTTCTAGTTAGTCATTAAATTATTTTTGCTGCTATGAGACCTTGAAGAAAATGCCAGATACATTCTGTAGACAAACAAATAAATGGTGCATATTAATTGTTACTGACAGGTGATGATAAATAAATGACAGATATCAGTTGAAATCAATGAAAATACCAGAACTATTCTAATAATCTGTCTAAACATGTTGACATACTGACATATTGGTCAAGGTCTGACATAACAATAAATATGCTTTTTGCCTTCTTTTTATTAATGTTTTTACAGATAAGCCTAGAAATTGATTCTATTACATTCAATAACAGTTATATATATATAACAGTTATATATATATGTGTTTTCTGAGGTTTTCGCGGGTGTTTGCATGTAGGTGTCGCTCCCAAACACATCCCCACTGAAACCATTATATGCAGAGTTGAAACCAGCCTGACCAAAATCAACCCCGATGATGCTAACAGAAGTAGACTTGAAATCACCAACATCCTCTGCACCAGCAAGCCACCCAAAAGCAACTTACCCAAAGAGGAACAGACAGCACTACTTAACCTGAAAGAAGACACCAGCATAATAATCCTACCAGCAGAGAAGGGCAACGCCACGGTGGTTATGAACACATCTGACTACCAAACCAAATTAACCAACCTACTCCAAGACTCCACATACAAACCCCTAAACACAGATCCCATCACCTACCTGGAAAAAAACACTAGTTCCAAAATAAAAACCTCCCCCATTAGTGAAGAGAGAAATCATCCAGATGCTCTAAGCTCTATGGTCTCCCACAGTCAGCTCCATAGGCTCACCTCTACAAAACCTAGCCAAATTTCTTGCCAAACAACTACAGCCCTATGCAGAATCCATCACCTCACACGTAAAAAACTCATTCCAGTTCATAGAGATCATGAAGAAACAAAACTTACATCCCAGGGACCTACTCGTGAGCTTCGATGTCATATCCCTCTTCACCCAAGTGCAAATCAAAGAAGCCTTGACAGCTATCCAAAACAAATATAACCCCCCCAAACACATCCTAGATCTGACCAACAACTGCCTATCCAACACATACTTCATCTATAAAGGACAAAAATACAAACAAATAGAAGGAGCACCCATGGGATCACCCCTCTCACCTGTCATTGCAAACCTCTACATGGAACACTTTGAAACCCAAGCTCTAGAAAAATCTGATCACAAACCCAAACTCTGGCTCAGATACATAGACGACACCTTCATAATCTGGCCTCATGGGAAAGAAAAACTGGACAACTTCCTCACACACCTCAACAGCCTACCCCCCAAAATACAGTTCACCATGGAAACAGAAGCTAATAACCAACTTTCCTTCCTGGATGTCTTAGTCTACAAGAAATCCAATGGCTCCCTAGGACACACCATCTACCAGAAGAAAACACACACAAACCGCTATCTGCACGCACTCTCACACCACCACCCAGCACAGATCAACTCCGTAGCCAAGACACTCATCTCCAGAACAAAATGCTTAGCTGACGAACAACACCTATAAACCGAACTACACACTCTCACTAATGTATTAACATCCAACGGATTCCAAAGAAATAAGATTACCAACCTAATCCAAAAAGAAACCCCCACTAAAATCCAAGACAGAGAACAAGAAAACGGCAAAGCCCTCCTCCCATACATAAAAGGCACCACAAGATCCTCCACAAACACAACATCAAGACAGCATTCTGCACAAACAGAAAAATATCCACCATTCTAAGAAACCCCAAAGACAAAACTGAGTTAGAAAATCAAGGAGTATACGAAATCCCATGCACCGCTTGCCCCACCACATACATCGGACAAACCAACAGAAGAACAAGTGCACGCACTGAAGAACACAAGAACTCAGTCAAAAAAGAGGAACCAACTTCTTCCCTGGTCCAACACCTTAAAACCACAGGACATGAAATTGACTTTAAAAAGACCAGAACTATCGCCAAAACTGAACACTTTAATAACAGAATAATCAGAGAAGCCATCGAGATAGAAAAATGCCCACACAGCATGAATAAATGAGATGATACCTCCTGCCTACCCTACCAGCCATTTGGAAACCTGCCCTTATTGACAAACGAGTCCCTAACACAAAGAATGACACCAGACCCACACTCACGAAAACCACACAGGATGTCACCACCACACATCCACGCAAAAAGCAAACCCAAACCCACACTGATGATGAGGCACAACCACAAACCAGAAGCCAGACCATAGCTGCATCATTAGCCACTTTAAACCCCTCCAATCCATACATGAAGCAAACTGACACCCACCATGAAGATGAGGCACGACCACGAACGCGAAGCTAAACAACAGCAATGCAGCTCACCATCTCACATCCTCCTGCAACTCAGACTAACCTGAGCACAACAAAGCCCCCACCCAAACAGAACATTCCCCCATCCAATCAGAGCACAGCTAACCCCCCATCCAATCAGAGCACAGCCAAGCCCCAACCAATCAGAACACACCTCCACCCAATCAGAACAGGCTCCCACCCAATCAGTTCATACCTCCACTGGCAGTTAAAAGGAAGAAACACCTACGATCACACATTGCTCCTAGAAGCACGAGCTGAAAACACCAGCCTGATGATGATGCATGGGACTTCGTTGAAAACACGACGTTTCGACAAAGCCTCATTCGTCATCTTCAGGCTGGTGCTTTTGGCTTCGTGCTTCCAGGTGTTTCCTCCTTTTAACTGCCAGTGGGGGTATGAACTGATTGGATGAGAGCTTGGCTGTGTTCTGATTGGATGGAGGTGTGTATACACACACACACACACACACATATTCTGAGATTTTCGCGGGTGTTTGTATGTAGGTCTTTGGTTATTCGGGTTTTCTCCCCCGTCAAATTGGAAGTGTCTTGGCGACGTTTCGACGAAGTCTCATTCGTCATCTTCAGGCTGGTGTTTTCGGCTTCGTGCTTCTAGGAGCAATCCTAGAAGCACGAAGCCGAAAACACCAGCCTGAAGATGACGAATGAGACTTCGTCGAAACGTCACCAAGACACTTCCAATTTGACGCGGGAGAAAACCCAAATACCAAACATATATATATATATATATATATATATATATATATATATATATATATATATATATATATATAAAATTAGTCTAAAAATTTGAGTCCCAGGTATATTTATTTCTAAAAGAGACATATTAAAACACTGATCTCCAGGACAGAGTTTTTGAACGCGTTATAGGTCCGCCTGCCTGCCACCCACTCCTGATTGGATGCATCAACCTTAATTCATCAAACTGTGAGGGGGGGGGAATGATTGCCTGGCAACAATGGATAGTCTGGTGTCATACAACAAACATGCCCAGCCAGTGGGGCAGGTGGGGAGAGATAGAGCTGAGAGAGCAAGGTGAATGCCGACCAATATAACCGAATTAAGGTTGATGCATCCAATCAGGGGTGGGCGGCCCTATAAAGTGTTCAATGGCCAAATTACTGATATTTAAAGAACTATAAAGGTGAAGCCTACCCAATGCTAGCTTACACTTTGACAACATTAGCAGGGACCAACGAAAGCTTAGTATATAATAAAAACTCTCTGTCCCAGAGATCAGTGTTTTAATACGTCTCTTTTACGAATATATATACTAAATGCTTGCAATTGAAGTCAGAACCCATCAAATTACTTCTTTTTCCTTTTGTCAATTTATGGGGCAAAACATATAGGATTTTTTTTTAAATATATCACTTATTATTTTAATTGGTTAGGTGGAATTATTAACAATAGATAATACAATCATAATATAAATTCTATATATTATTGGCAATTTTTCCCAGGGTTGTGTTCATTCCAACTAAGGACACACAGGTTATCAGACAGAACTATGTGAGACTGGGAAATAAATCTGCAGGAAGCTCACTTTTTAGGGCTGTCAAGCAAAGGGTTGAAAGAAGATATATATGCACAGATGCACACAGCATAGCAAAAACAATTGCTTCTTTAATAAAGACCAATGCTGCTTTTGAAAAGCTGGCTGAGGGTTTCAGTATTAATTTCATTTTTTTCTAGTCACAATTTTTTATAAATGAAAATCAATTTGTCGATTTCACGGTATTTGTTCAAAAGCAAACTACTAGACACTTTAAATATAATTTTGAAAATGATACAACCTTCTAGTTCTAGGTTCCAGTTCAACCTTCATTATGTTTTTTTTTTTAAAAGATGGCATATATGTTATTGCAACTGCAGTTAATGACTTATTTTCAGGAAAATGATTTTTATAATGAAGAAGACACATGCAATCCATACATAGGGTAGCATAAGGAACACATCATTTGTCACATAGGATTCCTATATTTCTCAATTTGCTCACTGCAGGAAGAAAGGGGAAGTGAAAGAGCTAGTTTTCCTCCTGAAACTTGAATGTTGTGTGCTAAATCTTTAAAAAAAATGATCAGTTAAAAAAGTAGAAAATCACACTATCTAATAAAAATTCAGTGAATAAAACAAACCAAATTGATTGGCTGTTAGTTTTGTTGTAGTCTAATCAAGTGGAAAATGAGCAATTTTTAAATGATTCCCTCTAGGCCAATGCTCTGGAATCTTATGGAAATTAAAATATGAAATTTCTACAATGAGCGTCTTGAGTAGTAAAAGCAGCATTAAGTACCAACCTGTCTTTCTGTGATTTTTAGATTGAGTCTCAAACCACTGAACTAATTTCCTTTGAATCAAAAGGGTATTAAATTACCTAATATTATTGAGGATTATAAACTTGGACCCAGAGTACTATCAGACAATATTTCATTAATATTTTTGCCTTACAAAAATCTTGTTTCCAACAATAAAAAAATTGTTCCATATTCTGCATAATATAAAAATGCAATGCACCTTACTGCTTAGTTTAATTGACTGTGGTGGATAAAAGCCCATGTGAAGTTTTATCTCTAGTTCTCCTTCTTTCTTAAATAAAAGCTAAAGTCAAAACAGAGCTTATTATAACCATACCAGTAAAGTCTTTCATATTAAAGCAAAGGCTGAGAAAGTCTTGAGTCAAGATAATTACTGAACAATGATATTTTTATTTATAATTAAATTATTAAAGAAAATAGGATAAAAATATCTACTGCTCTCTTGTACTTTTTCTCCTTTGCTCTCTCTATTAATTAGGGACCACAAATTCCAACCAGTATTTGTCAAATCATGACAAACCAGACTTCATGTGTTCAAGAGGTATGGTCTGGGAGGTTTAATTGTGACCTTTTAAAACAAAGTCACTCCAAAATGAATAAAAATCGGCCATGATCCAGAATTGAAGCTATATTGGTTATCTCTGTCGATTCTTACCTTTTTGTTGTTCTCCTTAATGTCTTGAGGATTCAGAGACTTGTAGTCACTGAGGGGGAAAATAGCACAGTGGGTATGTAAAATACTTTTATGGAAAAAAAGCATCCATTTTTAAAACAAACCACAATTTATAGCAAATTATAATTTAACATAAAACACCAGTGTACAGTAACTACCAATTTCACAGCGATCAGGAAAGCTAATAGTGTAGAAAATTAAAAGAATAAATGCATAAATATAAATAAATGTAAAGATTGTCTGTTTCATTGCCTGAAGTTTTCTATGTCAAAAGAGAAGTTAATTTACGCAAGGGATTTCAGGCTAGGTAGGACAACCAAATTTGCCATCAGGTCATTTTTTTTTGATGGCACATGAGAGCTACAGGATTATTGTCCCATCTCATTTAAACAGTAATCTAATTTTTATAAAGATCTTGAGGTCAGTTGCTTTCCTGTGGTTAAAAAGAAAAAAAGGAATGCATACAAAAATGAGGAATCAGCATATGGTTTTAGAACAGTGTTTCTCAACCTTGACAATTTTAAGGCATGTGGACTTCAACTCCCAGAATTCCACAGCCAGCATTGGCTGTGGAATTCTGGGAGTTGAAGTCCACATGCCTTAAAATTGTCAAGGTTGAGAAACACTGTTTTAGAACAAAGCCTTAGAAATGGCACAATATAAAGTTATTTACTCATTTCTGACTCACTCCACAAGATGGCACTTTAGAAATCGAAAATGAACAAAAGTAAGAAATGGGGCAGTTTAAATGTAAAATGTTCCTACTTACATTAAGTCAGGTCTAAAGTGATGTAATATTGCACAAAAGGATAAACCATTTCTCCAAGATGTAGTGAAATTGGTGATTTTTACTCCTCGGTAATTTTTTGTAACTTCTTTACACCAAACAAGCAATGACTGACTAGCATTTGGCTTTCTCCCCAAAACAGGACTTGGTAATGGGCTTGGCTGGAAAAAAAAAAAACAGAGAAAATGGGAAATGCATTAAAGAATTAAATGGGAGATGAGAATGAACATTAACTGATCTAACTGGATGATTTGCACCCTTTGATGTCAGTTAAGGTCCTTCACAGCTGTCAGTTTACAATCAGAGTAACTTGGAAAAAGACAGAAATTCAAGTCATTATCTAGAGACTTAGCCTTTGGCTCTTGTCTCTGAAAGATGTGTTACACAGGATTCCAATTTTACATGAGAACTGGCCAACTGCATTGATGAAACTACTAGCCTAAATTGCTTAAAGTCTTAAGGCACATAGTTGTGTAGTCTAGTGATGTTACACACCCATATGGAGATTGTTCAAAATCAAGTCATGTAAAAGCATCCCTGAGGTCAAAGCTGATCATAATTTATTTCACAGGCATGTACCTGCACACACGCTGACATACACATATAAATTAAAGTCAAAATACAGGCAATACTATGAAAATCAAATGAAGGCCCAACATGAAATGATGGAAAATGGTGTCCTTTTGAAACATCAGCACCTATTCTTTCAGCTTTTCTAAAAAGAAAAGTTAAAAATTACTCTTGCCTTACGGCCATTTCTTTCATACTTAAAAATATTTTTTACATGTGCTGAACTGGTGAGAGCTGCTCATCTGGAATGCATCCAAAACGTTCAAGAATTAGTGTAAAAAAGAAGAAGAAAGAATGAAAAAAGGATGACGGTCATTCATGAACATTAATGTGATTATTTGGCTTTGAAAAAAAAAATCCAATACGCATGCATCCAGAATGCCAAATATGCAGAGACTGTCAAATTGAGAGGTTAAAAGAAATGTTACTTGATAGTTCTCAATGGCATTATTTTAGAAAGAAATAGGTCTATCCAGACTATGTTTCAAAGACCAATGATGCCCCCACTTGACTAAAGCTTGCCAGTGCTAAGCAATTAAAGCTGTCAACTTCATACATATTATGATTTATACTTTTAGTGCTTGTGGGGCAGACTGCTTCCAGTTATTGTAATAGAAATAGTACATAGGCAGTTTATCATTTTTATTGACTGTTAGACTAGCAACCTGTGGTTAAATAAACAAACCCACAGATAACAGGTAGGATGATGCTAGTAACTCACATATGCCCTTCAGCAGCACAGATACACAATGCCAGGTAATTTGCAAAAATTTAATGTCACTGCTGTTTAAAGTTTTAATACTTGGATGTAGGCCTGCAATAATGATGAATAAGTGCAAGTAGCAAGGAATGACTGATTTCTCTAGCGATAAAATACCTCATCAAGTGTAATAATAGGTAAGCCTATGTAAAAGTAAGAACTACAGTCTAAGGTTCTTCTTATGAGGTAAATGCGTACAGGGTAAAAACCTAAAGCATTTACAAATAATTATAAGAAAGCAAAGAACAGGAGAACACTGCAATTTTCTCTTTAGCTTCAAGCAGCAAAGCATTTAAGACTTGTTCTGGGATAGATAAGACAAAATGAAACGGAATGATCTGAAGTTAACCACATTAGAGGCTGGGCAAAAACTCAAATTTGTTTGTTTGTTTGTTTATTACAACTCTGTAAAGTGAATTAGGCTGAGAGTGACTGGCCTAAATCACCCAACTGACTATCATGGCCAAGGTGGGACTTGAATTCATGGTCATTTGCTTTCCAGCCTGGAAATCAAATGTTAAAAAGTGTACATTATACACACAGTACAACTGCATTGCTTTTATTTTGAAAGTGACTGCTATTCTTTTTTTCCCCCAACTTACATATGTCCATGCATGCGTGCCGATACATCTTCACAGCCCGATTGGTTCAGCCCTCCACAACAATCTCAGTTTCTCATGTGGCTCCTTGGGAAAATTAATTGCCCACCCCTGCTTTATGTGATTAGAAGCACATAAAGCCCCCTGGATGAAGACACAGTTGTGTAAGGTACCTGTTCTGGACAAAATATTTAAATACTTAAATATTTTCGCCTAATTAAGCTGAGAACATAGTTCTTTGCCTAGCTGCCTTCAATTATTATTTTTTCAGGTCAAAATATGCAGTGTTGATGAAATAAAATTTCTAGGCACAGAAATGCACCCTTTCCCTAGTTTGTTCACTATCTGAAGTTTTTCAGTGATATTCTTACCAATACCAGCAATTGCTTTCCTCTTCCTGAGTTATATAGTCTGGGCTCCCACATTGAATAAATCATTATCACTGCTGTGACACAGTGATAATAAACAATCAGCTTGAAGAGTAATGCCTGTCCTGGAGCACTAAAAGCTAAGACAGGGGTTCTCAACCTTGGCAACTTTAAGCCTTGTGGACTTCAACTCCCAGAATTCCTCAGCCAGAAGCAGCTGGCTGAGGAATTCTGGGAGTTGAAGTCCACAAGTCTTAAAGTTGCCAAGGTTGAGAACCCCTAAGCTAAGATGTTCCTGTCCATATGCTTTTAGCTGACATTCAAATGATTGATGGGAAAACTATTTTAATACATCTACTGCAGAATTCTAATGGAAATGAATAATTGGTTAATGTCAGTGAGGAAATGAAAAGACATTTTAAACCACTATCTCTTTGGATTTGCCAATTGTCTATATACAAATTAACTCTGCTCAGAACTGAAATTATAAAAATAAAAGTTGTGTGCCAAAATATCTAACTAGAACCTGCCTAGTATGTCTAAAACCTAGGTGCAGTTTGAACATGCATTTCAACCACACCCAAGAGCATGCAAAATGGAGACTGCATTCTGTAATTACAGACATTATGAAGTCTTCATCTAATAGTGACTTTTTGGGGGATTTGGTACATGGAGCGGAGTAAGTGAAGAAACAAGATTCAGTAGAGCAATGGGTAAATTGTTTACCATTAACAAACACATTTATTTTCAGTAATAGTCAAGCAAAGAATAATAGCAGGCTATATTGCATCTTTGGTTAGAACAGTAGGCACACAAAAATGCAGCAGAAAATATGACAATTTTTTTTCCAGAGAACATCTGCAATACTCCCTTGCATTATAAGATTCTATTTCTGTTTGGCAAGACTCTACAATAATATTGAATTGTTGTAAGAAGTTACTTATGTTTGGAATGTGGCAAACAATTGGGCAAAGAATAATTTAGCTTGGGAAACAATTCTCTATGCTTACTGAAGCTTGAATTGGTATTGGATATTCAGCAATCAGATCTTTTATCCTACAAAGATGAAGGGCAGGTCCTGGTTTGTATTCCAGGATTTTCCAATTATAATTCTAATATTATATTTGAAGAGCACACAAAGAAAGAAGTGAAACAGAGAAGGCTACATAGGTATAACTGATATAATATCCTAAACCTGGAAACAAAGTCACCTCTCTAGCATGTGTATATCTATCGGAAAGAGGCAAGCTGGCAGTATTTTAATCATATTCTTTCCTTTATAAGAGTTAAGTTTGCATCTTAGGATTTTTATTTTATTTATAAACACAAACCCGTACATACACACAAACATAATCAAAATATATTTTGTCTTGTGAATTTAATTAGCGAACATACATTGTATATTTTAATAATTGAGAAATTTTGCTTTATACAGGTGAAATCAGCTCATCAGTTTAACAAAGTTAAAACATGTTCTTTGGGCTGGCAGATGTGTAAAGGTATTTTAGAATGGAAGGTGACAGCACCAAGGTTAGGAATCTGCAGGAATGGAGCAAGGGAGAAATGATGAAATATGTCATAAGACATATTTCATCATTTCATATTTCCCAAATTCCCAAAATTAGGACATCAGTACAATGAGAGGGATTTGTACTGTGTCATAGTGACATATTTTTCATAATTTTTAATCAGGCGATTAGTGGTAAGCCTCGTCCAATCTTGAAAAATTAAGTAGTTTTTGGTTAGTATTTGGGATAGCAGTAGAAGACCTACAGGATAGATTAGTAATTAAAAAAAGAAAAGAAAACCTTGTAAGAATATATCTTCTTACTGTAATGTGGCCAAGAATGTGACATGTAGTCCCTAAGAGTTGCACTTATTTTACACTTGCAACCAAAAAAAGTGCTTTAAGACCTAAAAAAAAAGGCCTAGGTATAAGTTGGTATATGCTTATATTTGTTTATAATATCTATTTTTGTCTAAATATAATATTCGGTATTTAGTTGAAACCTGATCTGTAGACATCTGTTCAATACATGGCATGATGCTTATATTGAAAAATATGGACGATGATGGTGAAATTCTTCAGAGTTTTTGAGAGTTAGCTGTCAGTCATACACTCGGAAAAATGAATGTGCTAAGTTTGAATCTGCTTTTTCAAGATGTGCTTAAATATAATATGATCAGTCTATATATACCTAACTATTTGAGGAAGTTATTAAAGGTATTAAGTGCTAGAAATATGACCTTAGTCAAGGAGTTTGCAAGATTCATGATGTACAGATAGATTGATAAGTTCTCTGTACACTTTCTAATTATATTTAGGCTGCAATCAATTACATTGTCATCCTGATTTCACATTTTAGTGGTTCTGTACCTCCAACAAGATGTGCTCATTTCAACCGATAAGAACTATGTGATGCAATTAAAATAAATATGTCCTGTCATCCCTTTGTTCACCTCATTATTGCTGTGATCAAACTGTAGGTTACAAACTAGGTTCTCTTTATGTATGCAAAAATTACATGTAAAGGACAGATAGAAAACCTTTTGCAATAAATGACTTTAAGCATCAGAAAGAAAGAAAAGCTAGAGCGTTAACAAACACCAGAAGCAAGACTCTTGAGTCAAGGCTGTTCCAGATGTCTTCATGGAACATCCATTTTAGTATTTTGAGCAGTGGCCCCCAACCTTTTGGGCAACAAGGATTGGTTCTGTGGAGAGAAGATTTTTCCGCAGACCGGAGGAGGCGTGGTTTCATGTGCTGCCTGCATCCTGCAGATGGGGCTTTGCTTGTTTGTGCGGACAGTTTCTGGCATGCCACGGACTGGTACCAGTTCATGGACCGGGGGTTGGGGACCCTT